GAGACATCGGGTGTTACAAAAGACTAAGGCCAAACTGAGCCTAACCATGTTCTGCTATGTTATGGCGCCACAGCAAAAGACCAACCGCTACGCCAAATCTTTTATTCCTTCTGCCATAAGGATTTTAAATGGAAAGTGAAATTGTTACTGTGTCCCTGATGCTCTGTGGTTTGAACGTACGGTGTCTGTCTTTCTATTTCTTTATTGTTTATAGATTGTGCATGACCAGAGATGTGCGAACTGAATTGCCCTTTGGGATTAATAAAGTTGTTGATTGATTGATTGACGCTTGAACCAACGTGCGCTGTGTTTTATCAACACAGCGGATGCGCGTGTAGTCTGAGTGCAGAAAGCTCCGCTGTCTGTGCGGCTAAACATGAAGCCGCAACACAAGTTAGCGCCGCTGTCAGAACCAAAACAGTTCATGGCCGAGTGCCAAAACAAGTCACGATGCCGAATCAACACTGGTGAGCGGGACACGTCTCAACAGCCACATGCATCAAATTCAGCAAGCTCAAACGATGAGAAGAAATGTCTCAAACCCCAACAGCCAATATAAACCCAAACCCCGAGCGACACAACTAGCCCCGCCCCCAGGAAAGAGCGAAATCCACTGAAATCCCACAAGACACCGACACGACACCAGACAGAACAGAGGCTCCATCATAACGAAATAACATCCAGTGTCACGGGTTAATATAAACACTTAAAGGTTGTATGGAGGATTTTTTTTGTTTCAAATTGTCAATGATAGATTATAGAGATGCAGTCGCCTTGTAATTATGATGACCAAAAAAAAGAGAATAAAAATTCATCAACTCTGGACGTGGTGGGGCTAAACATTTGCCAATAGATAACGACACTGCCTCGTTATCTGTGAGCTGACAGGCTGTCAATCAAACTCCCTACGTTTCTAGTGTAACTGACTTGCCTGCGCCGCCGGTACGTGGTTTACGTACGACTGTCACGCAGTCCACAGACGCAAGACGCACAGACGCTGTTTACTCCACCAACGCAACAGTTCTTAGCGGCTTTTTTTGACCTATATCTTCCTCGCAGTTCGCCCAAAGTTTGTTGCAATGGCGACAAGAATCCAGGAGCAGTTAGAAGCAAAAGAAAGTCCGTTTTTGAGGTCGCTGAAAGAAGAAGACAAGGGGAAAAGCAGCGAAGCCAAACTAAGGTGATTCTTGTAGATTCATTCCAGCGATGGCGCGACTGAAGCAGACGAAGGGTCTAAAGACTGACGCACTGGTCCACAAATTACTCCTGGACAGGAAACTTCTGCTTATTATGAAAACGTACTTTATTTCCAAGAGCTGGACAAACGTTTTTCAGGACACGAAAGCGATATCCTATGTCTGAAAACGTAATTTTCAAGGCAAAGAAAGAGTCCGCTTGCTGCTGCGTGTTGTAGCTAGTTCATTCACACTGAATCTCCGCGCACTCTTCTCTGCTCCCCTTTCCTGCTGCTGTCCCCGCTGCCCGATCCACTCTTCCCCCTGCTCCTCACTTTTCCGGGCACGGAATCTCCGCGCACCCGCTCCCCCCGCTCCTCACTTCTCCGTCTTGCCTAACCAACACTGTAGTTAGTTGTTTACAAGTCATGTGCAGCTGTAAACAAACCTGTTTCTGGCGTAAGGAGGAGGCAGGAGGAGGTGTTTCTACGTAGGAGCTGTGGGGGAGGGGGGGTGGTTTCACACATGCGCAACATTTGAAAAAGGACAAACAGTCGCTGGATTTCTCCTTCCTTGGAAAATCCTCTATACAACCTTTAAATGACCAAAATGACGAGACTCACAGCTGCAGCCACAGAGACACGAGACATAATATTCCAACGTAAGTCAACGACTAAAATCACTTTTAAGGGCAATTTTGTTACAGAGACTTAATAATCCATTTTATTTATTGTTTTGGTTGTGTTTGGTTCAACAATGGTTTATTCAAGTGCATTTTTGTGAACAAGTCCTCGCTGTAAACCAGACTTACATTAGACTAGTCCTGTGTTAACAAGTCTGTTGTATTTAGGCCTGTTGTTTTTGTTTGTCTTACAGTTCCTGTGTTAAATGTTATTTAGAATGTACGGTTTATTGATCTTTGAAAGGGCGTATTTGCATTTTTATTCCATGGTCACTATATTAGTTGAAATTGGTCTCAAAATGTCAATAATATCGTTTATCGCAATAAATTCTGGGTCAAGTAATCGTCCGGCAAAATCTGTTATCGTTATAGTCTAAACGTGGACATGAGCATTGAGCACCTGGAGATTTTAAAGTTGTGAGTGACTTATCCATGCGTTTGTCTCCAGTAGGTTAGACACTGTAATGTTCTGCTCACTGGTCTCTCCAAACGAGCTGTGAGACGCTGCAGAACATCCAGAACATCCAGAACATCCAGAACATCCAGAACATCCACAACATCCACAACATCCAGAACATCCAGAACATCCAGAACATCCAGAACATACAGAACACTGCAGCTCGGGTCCTGACTCGAACCAGAACTACGAGCACATGTGTCTCAGGACTCAGGTCTCTGCACTCCCTCATGAGGCTCAGAGACTTTAAAGCGGCTCTGTTTGTACAAGTCTGTCCATGGCCTAGATTCAAAGTCCATCTGCGGCGTGTTAGTGCCACATGAACCAACTCGGACCAGCCTCCTGCTGGTGCCCAGAGTCACGACTAAACAAGGGGAGTCAGAGTTTCAGACTCACGCAGCTAAAACCTGGAACAGTCTGAACATGTGAGACAGACACAACTCTGACTCTGTTTTTTCATTTTTGATTCCGCACTCCTCACTCTAATTTAATGTCTCTCTCTGTCTTTTTTTATGATGATTATTTATGTTTTTATTTGTTTTTATTGTGATTTTAATGTTTTTCTTATTCTGTAAAGCACTTTGAATGACTTTGTGTACGAATTGTGCTACACAAGTAAACTTGCCTCGCCTTGCTGACTTAAGCTGAAGTTCTACTGTGCGTAAAAGTAAAGCTGTAACAAAACTCTTCACATGGAGCCAAACAAGAAATAATAAAATCCACGCAAAAGTGTTTGCAGTTTGACAGGGAGCGAGAGACGAGAGAATGAAGAAAGAGAGACAGACGTGATGAACGAGCGAACAGACAGAACCCACAGTCATCCTCAGAGTCCAAACCAGTGTCTGTCTGTGTGTGTGTGTGTGTGTGTGTGTGTGTGTGTGTGTGTGTGTGTGTGTGCGTGTGTGTGTGTGTGTGTGTGTGTGTGTGTGTGCGTGTGTGTGTGTGTGTGTGTGTGTAAAAGCTTCACTGCTCCTGTTACGAACCAGCGCTAGGGACAAAGGAAAGTAACACAAACAAGAAGTGATGTAAGGTAAGTGGCTTTTATAAAGTAAATCTAAGTATAATAACAAAAAAAAAGGTGTTTTACATACGATAAATCAAAATTTCCAAATATAACTAAACAATACCTCTACTGGGTTAAATAACTCAAAGAAAATACAAATGCCCAAGGGCCGAGCCAAACTGGCAAATACAAACAAACGGTAGGTCAACAGCGACCCCTCGAGTCTCAAAGTTCTCAGTAGCAAAGGGATGTGACGAACACACGTCCGTCAACGACGGTGGCGAACTGAAACTGACATCCAGCCGCCCGGAGGAACAGGCGCACAGCACTTTTACTGGACGAGGTGATGGGATGTGTAGGAAGGGCATTGGAGGAGCGGGACGTCAATCCTCCAACCAGGCACGAGGAACATCGGCCCAACAGCGACGGGACCACACAGGACATGTGAATATGGAAGGCACACGCGGTAAAACAAACGGGGAGCGACGGGCGAAGCGGAGCCAGGCCGCGAGCCGTAACATCTCCTCACAACAGACATGTGTGTAAGATCATTTAATGAAATAATGGCCATAGGCTTTTATATGGTTTGTGCCTTTTTGATAAGAGCAGCGTCCACGTGCACACGTGTCCTGTGTGAAGGAGAGGATGGATGTAAAAGTCTTAAGCAACACGCGAGACACATGCTGAAATGTTTGACTAAACTGTTTCTTTAGACATTCTTGGAGGCAGAGCTAAAATAATCTTGACAGTTAGACTAAGTTCAGTCTGCAGCCTGAAGTGACCCAAATCTGATTTTTTGGCCTCTATGTTCCTGTATCTGATCTTTTAATGACAGTCTGAACGACACAGATCCAATTTTTTCAAATGTGACCCAGGACACTTGGATATGTGCTCCTGAAACTGATACATATCTGATCTTTTGACATGTGACTTCAGTGTGAACGGCCAAAGTGCATTCATCCACCTACACGTTATCAACAAGACACAAACGTCACTATTCTGCACTGAAGCAGGTGAAAATTGTTAATGAACTCAGTGTCACTGAAGTGAAGCACATCACCACTCACCACTCTTGGCTCCATCTCCACATCCACACGTTCCTTTCAACGAACTGAACCACAAAACACCACGACCAAAAACCTCGTCCTTCTCCTTCTCAATCTCCTCCTTAAAACAAGTAAGTTGTTCATGTTCTGGCTCTGGTACGAGAGGAACTTTAAAATCTCCAGGTGCTCGATGCTGCGTCCATGTTTGGACAACTTCTGTAAACACAGAGACGCTCACTGCGGTTGACGTCGTCGTGTCTCCAGTGTCACATGCGGGACACTTTTAGGACCGTTTAATGTTCACACTGGAGTCACGTACAAGTCACATTTAATTGGAAATGTGAACGACCTCGCGAAAACATCGGATTTCACAAAAAAATCCAAATTGAGCGTTAAGCCCTGCAGTCTGAACGTAGCCGTAGTCTGGTCCTGACCAGGTTTGTTTCTGGGTGCTTGTTACTGCGTCACCTCTGGTCCGTCACTCTGGTGGAACTGAGGCTTTGATAAACCTGGATTGGCCAAGTTTTCACTTTAGCTCACTTCATGGAATCCCCCCCCCCCAGTTTAGTCCTGGTTTAGTCCTTGTTAGGTCCTGGTCCAGTCCAGACAGAGCAGTAATTAAACCGTGTCGACTCACGTGCAGTCCCTTGTACGTCCCACAGGGGGTGCTGACTTGAGCGGCTCCAGGGGGCAGAGTTTTGGCCACATATCCCAGGTACGTGGCCAGAAAGAGTAAAGCGAGAACTCCCACCACAATGAGAGCGATGCAGCGGCGCGACAGGACCACCAGGGGGCTGATGTACTGCCGGTGCCGCGCGTACTGCACCTCCTCCTCCTCGTCCTGGACCAGGTACCGGTACTCGTTTCTCCCAGAGACCTCGAACGCCTCCTCACTCATCTTTACCCTGAAACGAAAGAGAGCAACGGCAGATCAGAAAACGGACTCACAGGAACAGGACACTATGGTTTAGTCCTGGTTTAGTCCTGGTTTAGTCCTCATTCAGTCTTGGTTCAGTCCTGGCTCAGTCCTGGTTCTTTCTGGTTTGGTATAGTCTGGTTTAGACCCGCATTGGTCCTGGTTTAGTCCTGGTTAAATCCTGATTAAATCCTGCTTAAATCCTGGTTTAGACCTGGTTTAGTCCTGGTTTAGTCCTGGTTATGTCCTGATTTAGTCCACGTTTTGTCCCAGATTCAGTTCCTGGCTCAGTCCTGGTTTAGTCCTGGCTCAGTCCTGGTTTGGTATAGTTTAGTCGCAGTTGAGTCCTGGTTTAGTCCTCGTTTAGTGCTGGTTAAGTCCTGCTTTAGACGTGCTTTAGTCCTGGTTCATTCTGATTTGATTTATTCTGGTTCAGTCCTAGTTAAGTCCTGGTTTAGTTCTGGTTTAGACCTGGTTTAGTCCTGGTTTGGTCCTGGTTTGGTCCTGGTTTGGTCCTGTTTTGATATGGTTTAGTTCTGGTTTATATCTGGTTTAGTCCTGATTTATTCCTGGTTCAGTTCTGTTCAGTCCCGGTTTAGTCCTGGTTTAGTCCTGGTTCAGTCCTGGTTTAGTCCTGGTTCAGTCTTGGTTTAATATGGTTTAGTTCTGGTTTAGATCTGGTTCAGTCCTGATTTATTCCTGGTTCAGTTCTGTTCAGTCCCGGTTTAGTCCTGGTTTAGTCCTGGTTCAGTCCTGGTTTAGTCCTGGTTCAGTCCTGGTTCAGTCCTGGTTTAGTCCTGGTTTAGTCCTGGTTCAGTCCTGGTTTAGTCCTGGTTCAGACCTGGTTTAGTCCTGGTTCAGTCCTGGTTCAGTCCTGAACTGAACTGAGTAAACAAAACCAGAAAGACAAAAAAATAAAAACTGCCTTGTTGTGGGCGTGTGATGATTTATGATAAAATGCGGAGTTGGAATCGTTGACCTAATTAAAATGTGATCTGGGTCCTGGTTTAGTCCTGGTTCAGTTCTGGTTAAGTCCTGGTTTAGTCCTGGTTTAGTCCGAGTGAACCTTTGATCTGCATTTGACCAACTTACAAATCACTGCTTCAAAATCTAACACAGGGCTGGAATATTGATCCTTAGTCCTGGTTTAGTCCCGGTTTAGTCCTGGTTGAGTCCTGGTTTAGTTCTGGTTTAGACCTGGTTTAGTCCTGGTTCAGTTCTGGTTAAGTCCTGGTTGAGTCCTGGTTTAGTCCTCGTTTAGTGCTGGTTAAGTCCTGCTTTAGACGTGCTTTAGTCCTGGTTTATTCTGATTTGATTTATTCTGGTTCAGTCCTAGTTAAGTCCTGGTTTAGTTCTGGTTTAGACCTGGTTTAGTCCTGGTTTGGTCCTGATTTGGTCCTGGTTTGGTCCTGTTTTGATATGGTTTAGTTCTGGTTTAGATCTGGTTTAGTCCTGATTTAGTCCTGGTTCAGTTCTGTTCAGTCCCGGTTTAGTCCTGGTTTAGTCCTGGTTTAGTCCTGGTTTCAGTCCTGGTTTAGTCCTGGTTTAGTCCTGGTTCAGTCCTGGTTCAGTCCTGGTTCAGTCTTGGTTTAATATGGTTTAGTTCTGGTTTAGATCTGGTTCAGTCCTAGTTAAGTCCTGGTTTAGTCTCTGGTTCAGTCCATGGTTTCATATGGTGTAGTTCTAATTTAGTCCTGGTTTAGTCCAAGTTTTGTCCCGATTCAGTCCCTGGTTTAGTCCTGGTTCAGTCCTGGTTTAGTCCTGGTTCAGTCCTGGTTTAGTCCTGAACTGAACTGAGTAAACAAAACCAGAAAGACAAAAAAATAAAAACTGCCTTGTTGTGGGCGTGTGATGATTTATGATAAAATGCGGAGTCGGAATCGTTGACCTAATTAAAATGTGATCTGGGTCCTGGTTTAGTCCTGGTTGAGTTCTGGTTAAGTCCTGGTTTAGTCCTGGTTTAGTTCTGGTTTAGACCTGGTTTAGTCCTGGTTTAGACCTGGTTTAGACCTGGTTTAGTCCTGGTTTAGTTCTGGTTTAGATCTGGTTTAGTCCTGGTTTAGTTCTGTTTTAGTCCTGGTTTAGTCCTGGTTTAGTTCTGGTTTAGACCTGGTTTAGTCCTGGTTTAGTCCTGGTTTAGACCTGGTTTAGTTCTGGTTTAGACCTGGTTTAGTCCTGGTTTAGTTCTGGTTTAGACCTGGTTTAGTCCTGGTTTAGACCTGGTTTAGTTCTGGTTTAGACCTGGTTTAGTCCTGGTTTAGTTCTGGTTTAGACCTGGTTTAGTCCTGGTTTAGACCTGGTTTAGTCCTGGTTTAGTCCTGGTTTAGGCCTGGTTTAGTCCTGGTTTAGTTCCTGGTTTAGTCCGTCCTGGTTTAGTCCTGGTTGAGTCCTGGTTTTCCTGGTTTAGTCCTGGTTTAGTCCTGGTTTTAGTCCTGGTTTAGACCTGGTTAGTCCTGGTTTGAGTCCTGGTTTAGTCCTGGTTGAGTCCTGGTTTTAGTCCTGGTTTAGTCCTGGTTATGTCCTGGTTGAGTCCTGGTTGAGTCCTGGTTTTGTCCTGGTTGAGTCCTGGTTTAGTCCTGTTTTAGTCCTGGTTTAGACCTGGTTGAGTCCTGGTTTAGTCTCAATTAAAAAAACCCTGCAGTTCAGATCTGTACAAACATGTTCTGAAATGTGATCCTTGTGTTTGTTTGTCAGTTCAGATTTCAGTCTCTTTGTCGATTCTCCTGGACGTGTTTAAAATGTGAACTTTGAACAGAATCAAAATATTAAAACATGAATCATAAATATTATCACGATCGCAGGGCTTGTCAGATAAATCGCCACAAAAGCCCCGGGACAGATTATCAGGATCTTGGCGGCCAAATAATGCGTCTTTGAAGGAGCCAAATACGCTCTTTTCTGATCTATGTTTTAACGCTGTTTCCTCGTTTTGTTTCATTCAAATTTCAAATCGATTTGATACGGTTCAATAAAAAATAACAGCAAAATGATGGCTGTGATATTAAAATTCAACCCACTTTATTTCTGTCGCACATTTCACAAACAAACAGTTTCCAAAGTGCTGCACAAATACATCAAAAATAACAACAATAAGATGATAAAATAAACTACTAAAATAATACTAGTCTTAAAGTAATAAAACCAGTAAAATAAAAATAAAACTATATCATAGAATAGAAATAAATAAACCAATAAATAAATTAAATCAGTAAAACCAATAAAAACACATAAAAATCAATAAAAGACACAGAGAATAAAAGTGGGTCTTCAGACGAGATTTAAAACTCTCCACTGTGGAGCTGCTCCAACGTGAAGCGGCAGATCGTTCCAGAGTTTAGGGTCGACCACAGAGAAGCTCCTGTCCTCCTGGTTTTAAGTCTCGTCTTAGGCCCTGAGCTGGAGCTGGACCTCGGACCTCAGAGCGCAGGGATATAAACTTGGATGAGGTCCGAGACGTACAGCGGAGCCAGTCCAAAAAAGTCTTTGTTAAACTGATTTTTGTGCAAAGTTCATATGAAACAAGTCTTTTATTTATATCGCACTTTTCACAGACATTTGTCACACTTTCACAGAGGATTATTCAGCATTATTCATTCACTCTACACCCGGTGATGTAAACTACTGCTGTAGCCACAGCTGCCTTGTGTCAGACTGACAGAAGTGTGGCTGCCATGCCAGTCAGCACCATTGGTCCCTCCGACCACCACCATCACTCACACCCACACCACTTTCATACTAGACAATATGGTTGAGTGTCTTGCCTAAGGACACAATAACAGTTTTTTTGTCACCTCCTGTGGCTCCTGGAATTCCCAGTGTCTCCATCCAAGTCCTGACCAGGCCCGACCTCTGAGCTTCTGAGATCTGGGATCAGGCTTTTACAAGCCGGTATTGGCCACAATACCAATTTTAATCATAAAAACTGTGCAAATGTCGAATGTGTCGCATAAACAAGTTTCTTTCCTCCAAACAAGCAATAAAACTGTGGCTGTAACAAAATAATATAGTAAAATACACCACAAAATACTCGATATATCGATACAGCAACCCACGATATCGATACTGTATCATGACAATAAACGATACGATATATCAATATTTTGATATTTTTTCACACCCCTTGTCAAGTGGTAATACAGGAAGTGCTCCACCGTGTTTTTAAACCCACCTTCACTGGTATCGTTTGGATAATTTTAGCCCTGGTATCGCCAATCTCTACTGAACAAAGGGTAAAAGGAGCTGTGAACTCAAAAACTACTGCTTCATGACGTCACAAGGTGGAACAGAGCATTTTGAGCTTTACTAATAATAAAGTGTTACTCAAACATGAGTGAATGGACTCCTCCTTAACGTGGTGGAGGTGTTTGAGCGCCCGAATGATCCGGGAGCTGTGTTATCGGGGGCTTCATGGCCCTGGTCGGGTCACCCAAGGCAAACAGATTCGAGGGATCAGTCAGACTAAGAGCGGTTCAGAAGCCTCTGTGACGAGAACATTATCCAATGTTTCCCGTTTCCCACAGAAATTTGTTTAGGCATGTTAAGAAAGACTACTGATCAGACCCAAACATGCAGAAAATAGTCTTGGGGGGGTGGGTTCCGGGGGCAGGGCAGTTCAGCTGCAGACGGGAGGTACGCAGTGGCGGAAACTGACCACAGGCTTACGGAACAGGTGGCAAACGAAATGAGGCTGGCTCCAAATGAAAGTACTGGGGAACGGACAAAAAGAAAGTGGTAAGTTTAAAAATGTTCAGTATTCACAAAAAACAGAAAAAGCCTGAGTTACGTTCACCACTTAAATGACAGAACGATCTGGCACTGGAGAGAAGGTCAACAGGAGATGATTGAATAATGAGGATCAGAAGTGGAGCTCAGCAGGTAGTTTTGCGAGGATTCACAGGGTTTGGTGGGACGAAGTCAAGGTGCGGCGGGAAACACTGCAGTCCAGTTATGTCGCCCGTTGGGGTTGGGGCTCAATGGAGGGTGTCTGGTGGTCTCCCTGGGCACAGCCTGAAGGAAAAACATGGGGTCGTCCTCCCCTGGACCGACCACCTACAGGAGGATCCGTGAGGGGCCGTTGCAGAAGGATCTGGGCAGCAGATCACAGCTCAGGATCTAGCTGACGACCAAGCAGTGGACATTTGAGATTCTAGATGCTGTTTACACCATATGTGGCAGAAGACCTTCCAGAGGAAATACTTTGGAATGGACCATTCTGTCATCAACTGAAACATCAGAGTGGAGTAAGAACAAGGACTTTCCTGTTGAGTTCACCTAGCGCCCCCTGCAGGCTGCTGAGACACTGCAAGACACAGAGGAGGGACACTTTTGGCTCTTCCTCTCCTCAAACTGAACTGCACAGACCTGCTGACCCTCCCTGACCCGTCCTCCTGTCAAACTGTCCTGAGGCCTTTGACTGAGACACAGTGGAATTTCCGTCTGGATCAATAAAGTCTCTCTGATATCTTATCCCTAAATGCACTCTCATATCTTACCCTTAAATATAAATGTCTTCACTGCCCCGCGGCGTTCTGCGGGACCCACTGCCTGTACATGCCCGAGATTCAGTACCAACCCACTCAACACCCAACACATAAAATATAACAGGAGGGTGTGACACAAAAAACAAACAAACAGCAGAAAGCTCCACGTACGAGACTTCACCTTTTCAACATGAAATACTTTTCTGCTTATCGCCGGGATCGTCCTTGTCCCACAAGGTAAGAAACGGTACTTTTTATGTGTGTTATGAGTTACGAGGGTCTGAGATGTCACTGTTTCGCCTAGAATGTTCCACAGTATGGCATTAAACGTGTCTATTTCCAAAGTGGCAAGGAGACAGCATCATAGGGCAAAGTTACGGGTCAGATTTATGGAGAGGTGAGTCCACTCAGAGTAAGAATGCGTGTATTCCAAGGAATTTTTGAGCTGTTATTGAATAATGCACAATCCACCAGAAAAGTGAAGAATAGTGAAAGTTTCATTATAAATGAACACTGTTGGGCAAGTGACTTTAACACTGTAATGTGTTATTTATGACTTGTTACTGTCATTTTAAAGTAATCCATTACATTACAATATTACTGTATTTAAAATGTAAGGCATTACATTACTATTGCATTACTTTTAAGTTACTCTCACCAAAATAACTGCGAAGATGCTGAACTTTTGTGCCGTATATGGACTGAACCAGAACTAAACCAGGACTAAACCAGAGCTGAACCAGGTCTAAACCAGAGCTGAACCAGGACTAAACCAAGTCTAAACCAGGACTAAACCAGGTCTAAACCAGGTCTAAACCAGGACTAATCTTGGACTAATCTTGGACTAGAACTTGGAATGAGAGAGAACCTGAGCCCGTGGAACAGGGTGTCTGTAAAGCGCGATCGCGTGAGCTGCGTGGAGTTCTGCGTCGGTTCTTTCGCCCGTGGTCACCTGACGGTCTATGCGGGCACGTCTCTGGCGTTTCACCGCTGCTGATATCGCAGCGAAATTTGTACGAAGAAAAAAAACAAAACAAACAAACACTTCAATCCAGGTTAAAAATTCATTGTAACGCGGGTCACTGACATTTGTACAGAGTAAAATATTACAATTTTTTCCCCCGTGATGCCACATTACTGAGTTACAGCAAAAAGCAACACATTACAGTAATTCATTATTTTTATAACGTGTTACTTCCAACACAACATTTTGGCTTATATAACATCCTAAATGTTAGAAAAGACTCATTTAAATGTTTCAGACTTTTGTGCCCATCTCTTGTATATTGAATAAATTCATAGGTGCTCATCCAAAAAAATGTTTTGTCAGGTGGGTAACGCCTCGGATAATCCCTCATAAATCTGCAGTGGTTCAGTTTATAGTCACAAACATAAAAAAATAAATAAAATACTAGTACTTCTGCAATTTGGCAGCATTTTGTCTTCAGGCCACATTTGTTTATGTTTTACAGAAGCTAAACTTAAAACCACATGACTCATTTGCATAAACTATAAGTGCTGAAAAAAACAGCTCGCTCCTTGTGCGCTGATGTGGTTCAGCTTCTGTCGGACTAAAGGACACGACTCAGTGGAATATGAGTGTTCTTTCTGTGACAGAGAGGTGTTCTGCTGATGGTGAGTCTGTTCTGTGTGTGTATCATGTTGGAGATGATTCATGTGAAACTTTTCAGAGATTATAAATCTGCAGGTCGTACACACAGACCGTTCAGCTTTGTAGCTTACCAAAGTTGTACTAAAACATTTTGGTAACACAGTAATACTGTATACCCCGAGAAGAATCCTGAGAAGATTTAATGGTATCAAAGTCTGGATACTGCCCAACCCTAGACTCAACGCTATAAGAAGAACAACATCCTAAAATGTTAGGAAATCTCAACTGGGTAACACTTCCCATAGAGTCTATTATAAAACCCACATTACACAGTTGACACTGATGAGATTTAAGCACAACTGATGGGAGAACCAGAGTGTCCAGAGGAAATGCTGAGAGAAACAGGGAAAAACATGCACAATCCACCCAGGAATCGAATCCGAAACCTTTTTGCTGTGTGAAGCGTGAGTGCTGGACACTGTGCCGTGACAATAAGTGTGTTCATATTGTGGGACTGACCTGGGACTATTGGACTGAAAGTTAAAGAAGCCAAAATGAAAATCCACGATTGTTTCTTGTCTTTTTGAACTAATCAGATCTGTGATTTTCAGCCTGGTGTCTCAAGTGTAAAGTGTGTGAAACTGAAGGTTCCGAGTGTGTGGGAGAAGAGGAGACCTGCTCTGCAAACTTCACTCGCTGTGGAATTGCTCGGATAGTATCATACGTGGGTTAGTGAAGAACCTGCACAAAACTACTGCAAAACTACAGATTTCAACTATATTTACTTTAAATGTTTAAATGATTGCTTTGAGTTACATGTTCATTTGTTTGTTTTTCTATTTTGCTCCATGTTATGTTATTTTAATTTATTATTACACAATAAACATCTAAACTATTTAAAAAATCCCTTTCTTTTGCAGAAGGTACTGTAAAAAAAGAAGAAATAAAGGCCTCCTGTTTCCCGGAGCATGTGTGCAGAGCCGGCTCGGTCAACCTGGGACCGTTCAGTGTTTATTACACAACAAAATGCTGCGACACAGACAACTGTAACACAGAGAAGCCCCCGGACGGTAAGACACACAACAGCAGCTGCTTTAAATAATAACACTTTAAGAGACTGAGATGAAGACATTCTTAAACAAACACACCAGGTCATGAGGAACATGCCCACACATGTTCATGAAAGTGCAGAAGTGTCAGATTACAACCGTAACACACACAAGCACAACAGGTCTTCTTCAAAAGCTCCAGTCAATTTTGCAAAATGCTTCTTATATTTGTAAATATTTCCAGGTCATATTAAGTTGTACAGTACAGTCGTCCCTCGCTGTATCACGGTTCACCTTTTGTGGTCTCGCTGTTTCGTGGATTTTTTGTGTGTGTAATTTTGCATGCTTTTTTTCCCTTTACAACGTATTTTCACGCATCGTGTTCCTCTCCTGCGTCCTGATTGGCTAAGGGATTGTAGACCGCTGTCAATCAATCTCCTCCGTGCTGTGTCTCCTGTACAGTACAGAATGTGTTCAGTTTGACAAATTTATATAAATGTTGGATCTGTATCAGTGTGATTCTGAAGTACTGTAGGTTTGCAAGTTTTCTCCCTGACAGAACCCACAATGTCAATGAAACGTTCTGCACTGACAAAGGCTCCTGCGCTCGCACATAAAGGGCAAAACGGGCGGGTTTTAACGTTCTGGAATTTTACGGCCGATAGTCGAACCTCGGATTCAGGAGGAGCAGTGTGGTTTTCGTCCTGGCCGTGGAACACTGGACCAGCTCTACACTCTCCATCGGGTGCTCGAGGTTCATGGGAGTTTGCCCAACCAGTCCACATGTGCTTTGTGGACTTGGAGAAGGCATTCGACCGTGTCCCTCGTGGTGTCCTGTGGGGGGTGCTCTGGGAGTATGGGGTCCCTGTATGACCGGAGCAGGAGCTGTGTTCGCATTGCCGGCAGTAAGTCAGACCTGTTCCCGGTGCATGTTGGACTCCGCCAGGGCTGCCCTTTGTCACCGGTTCTGTTCATTGTATTTATGGACAGAATTTCTAGGTGCAGTCAGGGGCCGGAGGGGGTCCGGTTTGGGGACCACAGGATTTCATCTCTGCTGTTTGCGGATGATGTTGTCCTGTTGGCTTCATCGAACCAGGACCTGCAATGTGCACTGGGGCGGTTTGCAGCCGAGTGTGAAGCGGCTGGGATGAAGATCAGCTCTTCTAAGTCTGAGGCCATGGTTCTCGACCGGAAAAAGGTGTCCTGCCCTCTCCGGGCGGGTGGAGAGTCCTTGCCTCAAGTGGAGGAGTTCAAGTATCTCGGGGTCTTGTTCTCGAGTGAGGGAAGGATGGAGCGTGAGATTGACAGGCGGATCGGTGCAGCGTCGGCAGTGATGCGGTCGCTGTATCGGACCGTTGTGGTGAAGAGGAGCTGAGCCGAAAGGCGAAGCTCTCGATTTACCGGTCAGTCTTCGTTCCTACTCTCACCTATGGTCATGAGCTCTGGGGTAGTGACCGAAAGGACGAGATCGCAGATACAAGCGCTTGAAATGAGTTTCCTCCGCAGGGTGGCTGGGCGCTCCCTTAGAGATAGGGTGAGGAGCTCAGTCACACGGGAGGAGCTCGGAGTAGAGCCGCTGCTCCTCCACGTCGAGAGGAGCCAGTTGAGGCTCGGGCATCTGTTCTGGATGCCTCCTGGGCGTCTCCCTCGGGAGGTGTTCCGGGCATGTCCCACCAGGAGGAGGCCCCGGGGAAGACCCAGGACACGCTGGAGGGACCATGTCTCTGGGCTGGCCTGGGAACACCTCGGGGTTCCCCCGGAGGAGCTGGAGGACGTGTCTGTGGGTGAAGGAAGTCTGGGAGTCCCTGCTTAGGCTGCTGCCCCCGCGACCCGGCCCCGGATAAGTGGACGAAAATGGATGGATGGGTAGTAATTACTCACAGGCGGGTCAGGACTAAACCAGGACTACAAAAGCTCTCAGTCGGTCCTTTCTCCTGCGGTCACCCGCGAGCTCGCCCCGACAGTGACTCCTGGTTCAGTTGTGGTTTAGTCTTGGTTTACTACTGTTTTAGTCCTAGTTCAGTCCTGGTTTAGTCCTCCTCTTCAGTCCTGGAATCAGCCCTGGGTTAGTCCTGGTTTAGTCTTAACGGGTGCAGTGCTGTACTGTGCGGGTGTGGGTCTCCAAAAATGGACCCATGCAGGACTCTGTTCTGTAGGGCTCCATTACGGAATAAATGAATCTTGGGTTCGTTACATAAAGAAGGAGGAAAATAACAAAAGGACGACAGCAGCAATACGTTTTAAGAAGGATGTAAAAAGGGATGTAAGTGTCCTGTGTGTGTATAAAGTTTGTGGTGAGGGGTTTTACAGCTTTAAAACAGATATAATAATGGTAAAATATAAAGTTCACTACTTTGCAGATTTCGTTTACTGCGGGTTATTTTTAGAACATAACCCCCGTGATAAACGAGGGACCACTGTAAATTAGATGACTTAGTGTGTTATTATCACGCTATTATTATGTTATTATTATGTTATTATGTACTCAGTATAAATTCCTTGATTGTGTGTTTTAGTGTTTATCAAGTTCCGCCCCAACGGCATAAAGTGTGATGTCTGTACGGAGGACGGATCATGCAACGGGACAATGGACTGTGTGGATGACCAGACTTACTGCTTCACCATCGACCCAAGTACACAACACACGTACACAACACACGTACACAACACATACACACGTACACAAACACACAAACACACAAACACGTACAAAACACATGTACACATACACGTCCTGAAGTAAATCCCACAATTGTGACATCCATTTGTTTGTTTGTTTCAGAATCAAAGGGGTGTGCGACTCGGAGCTTCTGTGTGGATCGTCCCTTTTTCCTGGACAACATGGAGGGGATGACGTGCCGCGGCGGCAGCAGCCCCAGAGCTGGTCTGGACCCACTGTCCACCCTGCTTCTCCCGCTCATCTCGCTCCTTTTCTACAAATAAAAACGACTTCAAGTTTCTGTTACAAACGGGGCTTAGTTTTCTCCAGGTTTGGCTATTTTTTTTTAGGTTTAAAATTTTACTTTCTATTTGGAAATCATCATCACACTAGGGAATACCACATCTGTGTAACCTGTGTCTATAACTGTTGTACACTGGGCCAAAACCCTCTAATGTACACAACAAACATTATAAGATAAATAAAAACATTAGAAAACACCTTTATTTTGTTTAAATGATGTTTTAATTATCAGAATGATGTGCATACGTGTGCCAGTGTCATCGTATGTTTAGAACTCTCTACTTCTTGTTATTTCCAACATATTTTTAAACTTTTTTTTTTATCAAATTGTTTCTTGGTCGGTGTTAGAGGAGAACCAGCTGGAAAGTGCCCCTAGTTCATCTATATGCCCCAAGTTCATCTATATACATATAAAAAAAAAACATTTTTTGTCATTATATATAATTAGTGCTGTCAAGCGATTAAAAAAATTTAGAGATTAATTCATTATGATCTGTAATTAATTAATCTAATTAATCTCTTTTTAATCTCACCTATAAATTGCTGAGAAAAGCCTCAACTTGAGGTATTTTCATTTAAATTCATTATTACATTATTGTGGCAGATCAAAAGACTGATATAGAACAAAAAAAAGTGACTTTATAAAGTCATTTATTGTTTAACAAACTTTAACAGATGCAGTCATTTACATTCTGCTGTGTTCTTTTGTCAAACTTTAACTGTGTGTGTGCACGATGTGGGAGCGGGAGCGGCCGGGATGATAAACTACAGTCCCACAAACTAAATATAAGTGTAAAGTCAAATATACAAATGATTCATGTTTGTCAATCATACATCACTTGTGCTGGATATTTTATTTTGGCATTAATAAAAACAATTTTAAGTAGCCTAAACTTGCAGACGTGGTCTAATCTTACACACATGTTAGACAATTCCTTTCTGTTTCTCCATGTTTGATGGAGTTTAAGAAAAAGAACGTCCACATTAGGGATGGGCATTCGATGAAATTTTATTAATCAATCGTCTGGAGAATTAACGATCGATTTTTAATTAATCATTAACGTTTTTATATTAAAATTATCATCATTATTATTACTGTTACTAATCTGCATAAATAAACTCAACTTTACAACATATAAACATAAACACTCTAGAGCCACATCAGCCCGTTTGATGTTATAATGTTTTTAATGCAGATTTGCATAAACTAAGTGAGAAGAGAAAAAAAAAAAACCGCTGATGTGGTTCAGCTCCTGTCGGACTAAAGGACACGACTCAAATGACTTGATGCTGAAGGTGATCTTTCAGAGATCAAACATGTGCAGGACAGATAGAATGAAAATTACAATTCTTTGCGGGAGTGAGTGGAGCAGGACTGCACAGTGTGAGACTGTGACAAACAGATATAAAACAGATTAAAAATGAGATTAACACGATTAAAAAACATAACGCGCTAAATATGACTGTAATTAATCAATCACAATTAAAACAATAATTTGACACCCTGTATATAATGTACACACGCAAGTTTCAATATATCTCAACAAATTTGTTTCTACATACAAAAAAAAAAAAAAAACCATCCAAAAATGATGTGGTCTCAGCTGTGCCGGAACTATTTCAGGATTTGATCTTACTTCAATGAAATACAGAGTCAAGACTTCCTAAAAGTGACTCTGAATGATTTTTGAACAAATTCTGTAGCTTTCTAAGTTTCTTGTTCTTAAATACATCAAAGACTAAGTGCATTGTATTTGGTACAAATCAAATGAAACCTCAACTGAAGCTGAAGCTGGGCAATGCAGCTATTGAGCAAGAGAAGGAAACTGAGCTTCTTGATGTTACACCAGACAGTAAACTATCCTGGACCATGTTGACTCTCTGGGTGGAAAAATGGGAAGGAACATGTCTGTTAGGCTACGTTCAGACTGCAGGGCTTAATGCTCAATTCCGATTTTTTTGTGAAATCCGATGTTTTAGCGAGGTCGTTCACATTTCCAATTAAATGCGACTTGTCTGTGACTCCAGTGTGAACGGTAAACGGCCCGAAAGTGTCCCACATGTGACTGGAGACACGACGACGTCAACCCCATGCGTCAACCGCAGCGAGCGTGATCTGTGTTTACGGAAGTTGTCCAAACATGGACGCGAGCATTGAGCACCTGGAGATTTTAAAGTTCCGGTTTCCGCCTGCTTCAGCGCAGAATAGTGACGTTTGTGGCTTGTTGATAACGTGTAGGTGGATGATTTCGCTTTGGCCGTTCAGACTGAAGTCACATGTCAAAAGATCAGATATGTATCGGTTTCAGGAGCACATATCCAAGTGTCCTGGATCGCATTTGAAAAAATCGGATCTGTGCCGTTCAGACTGTCATTAAAAGATCAGATACAGGAACATAGAAACCAAAAATCGGATTTGAGTCACTTTAGGCTGCAGTCTGAACACAGCTTTATTAAGAGATGTTTCACATTCTTAACACCACCTTTAATGAAGCAGGTCCTGCAGACTCTGGTGTTCTCACACTTGGATCACTGCTCAATGATTTGGCCAAGTGCAACTAAAAAGGAGCTTGGAAAACTTCAGTTAGCTCAGAACAAACTAGAACAAAGCTGCTCGTCTTGTTCTAGGGCAACATTAAGATCAAATGTGAACAATATACATGTCAGTCTTCATTGGTTAAAGGCTGAGGAGAGGCTGAAGGCCTCACTACTGTATTTTTAGGTCTATAAGGATTTAGTTACAGAGTTACAGAGGACGTCTCCCAGAGTATTTTAAAAGACGTGAAACATCCACTAAATTCAGAGTTTCAGCTGCTTCCTTCTGGTCAGAGGCTTTTAGTCCCAAGATCTAGAACGAATCGTTTTAAAAGGAGCTTCGTTCCGGCTGCTGTCGTACTTATGAATAGATTGTAATCTATTTATCTAAGATTGTGTGTTTTTAACATATTTAAGATTTATTGTGATTTTAGCCAAGTAAGATGGTTGAATTTAACTAATTGTTTATGGAACAAACCGTTCTGCACTGGAGCTCTGTAACACTATTTTGTAATTGTGTTTTTATACGTGTTTTGTGGATGAATGAAATGTGAAACGTGGAACCTGCCTCTCAAATCTGTAAAGCAAATTTACCTACGGGTAACAATAAAGCGACCTAACCTAACCTAACCTAAGGATCTAGCTGACGACCAAGTAGGATTGGGTAGTAATACAGTATTAAAGTTCCCGCGGTATCAAAAAGTAGAAACAGTTTCAGTTTCATTACCGACAATAAAAAAATCTGCAGCGCTTAAGGACCTAATATAATATTATAATTTATTGATCCCTAAATTTGTTTGCTCAGCACAAATAAATGTGTGGTTGTATTTTCAGTTTAATTTATCACGATTTAAAACTAACAGTGTCTCTAATGTTTCTTTTAACTGTGTGGGGAGATGACGTTTCATTAGTTTTGTTCCGTTGTCACGTGACGTTCTTAAGAGACCAAGACAAGACGACAAGTCCGGCCATAAGTGAGTTGGTCACAAAAAGAATACTTGTACTTCTGCAATTTGACAGCATTTTGGCTTCAGGTGCACGTTTGTTTATGTTTTACAGAAACAAAACTTAAAACCACATAATTACCGTATTTTCCGCACTATTAGGCGCTCTGGATTATAAGGTGCACTGTCATTAAATGGTCTAACTTTTTTCACAAATAAACCGCACTGGACTTTAAAGGAAACACAACAGTGTGATGGGTGAGTGGTTTTGTTTGTTTGTTCGTTCACAGTGACTCTGGGCTTTGTTCAGTTGTGGCGTGTAGGGAGGTGCTGTCTGGGACCAACGGATTGTCGGTTCAGTCATGTTCAGTCGTGTCTAGAAGTGGCACATTGCACTCGCTTTTTCGGTTTGTTCCTCCATTCCGTTCCTCGTCGGCGTGGAGTGATGACTGTGTCTGTGGGTGTGTTTCGCTGTGCGGTCGCTGTCTGCTCCGTGTGTGTTTGCGTGTTTTGTGGGTGGTGCGGCTTTGTAGTTTACTGAAAGAGTGGATTCGTGTATGGGGCGCTCTGGATTGTGGCGCGTGGTCTTTTTTGATGGGGTTAGAGGCTTAAGAGCGCGTCTAACAGCCCGGAAAATATGGTAAATTGCATAAACTATAAGCGCTGATAAAAACAGCTCGCTCCTTGTGCGCTGATGCGGTTCAGCTTCTGTTGGACTAAAGGACACGGCTCAGTGGAATATGAGTGTTGTTTCTGTGACAGAGTTTGTGCTGCTGATGGTGAGTCTGTTCTGTGAGTGTGTTGCGTTGGAGATGGTTCATGTGAAACTTTTCAGAGATTATAAGTCTGCAGGTCGTACACACAGACCGTACAGCGGTGCGGCTTTGTAGATTACCAAAGTTGTACTAAAACATTTTGGTAAAACAGTGATACTATACCACGATAAAATCCTGAGAAAGTTTAACAGTATCAAAATTTGGATATCGCCCAACCCAAGGACCAAGCAGTGGACATTTAAGATTCTAGATGTTGTTTACACCATATGTGGCAGAAGACCTTCCAGAGGAAATACTTTGGAATGGACCATTCTGTCATCAACTGAAACATCAGAGTGGAGTAAGAAAAAGGCCTTTCCTGTTGAGTTCACCTAGCGCCCCCTGCAGGCTGCTGAGACGCTGCAGGACACAGAGGAGGGACACTTTTGGCTCTTCCTCTCCTCAAACTGAACTGCACAGACCTGCTGACCCTCCCTGACCCATTGTCGTGAACCCCCCTTGTTCTCGGGAGGGCTCACCTGGGTCGATTAAAGGAGATGAAGGTTTTGGCGTAAATTCCAGTGAGAGGCTCCTGACATCCGGATGGAGATGTTATGCTTTATTTCATTAAATAAATAGCTTTTAGAGCATTAGTGGTTTAAAATGATTGTTTTAGATGATAGAGGCATTTTTGTGATCTATATTAACACAAGTTACTTGTTTTATTTTTGATTTAAACCTGATTTGTTTCTTTCGAATTGATTTACTTGATTTATCAAGTTTAAAACTTTTAGATTGGGTTGTTTGACATTATTTTTTTTTTTGTAACATTATGATATGCTTGTGTGCAGGAAACATGCAAACAAACCAGATGCGAGCTTCCTGCTCCTTTGAAGTTGATCTGAAGAGTTGGTTTGAAGAGGCGTCTGGCCTATGGAGCAATGCTTGCGGTTTCTAAAGCGTTGTCTGTTCTTAGAAAATGTATGCTATATGTGACGTTTCACTTTGCATGTACCTGGGTGGAGTTCTGTGACCTTAAAAAGACCTGAAGGATATAAATACTGGAAAAAATCTGTGTAGAAGTGTGATCCTGATTCGGTTGGCATTGACCCCTCCGGCGTAATTCTGCTAGGAGGTCAAGATCTCAAATTTTGAACTAGGCAGTGCTTTATAGCTTACCTGGTCACAGGGTAATTTCTCCAAAAGGTACTTGCATAGTGATTTGTCTTAATTGTTTAGGTATGAGTTTTTAAGTAAAATAGCAGCTACCGAGTGAGCTGGTCATAGTCATCCGGTTGTGAGCTTTCCAGGCCTAAAAACCTCGAGTAAGCGAACTTTTGCACAACGACAAACGATGGTACCAGCCACATGAGTAGCGCATTAAATTAATAAAAAGCCGAAAAATAAGACAAAGACAAATCACTTGTTGGGATCTTTTGTTGAGTCTCTCCCTTTAATTAATATACATATATTCCTACCACAAGCAAGTCCAGTCATCATAGGTGAGTTATCTGATGAAATGCAATGTTGGGAAATTTTCTGATGCAGTGTTTTGATGCAATGCTGAGTTTGGATAAATGTTTTGAGGCACTGCTAAGGATAAGTGAATATTTGCAATGTTTGGTGTAAAGCTAAATCTGGATAAATGTTTTGAGGCACTGCTGAAATTAAGTAAAAATCTGCAATGTTTTAATGCAATGTTGGATTTGGATGAATGCTTTGAGGTACTGTTAAAAATAAGTAAGGTCTGGCAAATGTTATGAGATAGGGTTAGCATGTGTATGGACTTAATCTGATGTATAGGGGAATGTTGGATGGGGTTTTTAAGGCTAAGTGATATTTTCGTGTGTAGTTAGAGTCATTTGAAAAGAAGCGAGTCACGGGTCATATAGTACTGGCCTGGCTTTCTAACACCCATCCTCCTGTCAAACTGTCCTGAGGCCTTTGACTGAGACACACAGTGGAATTTTCCTCTGGATCAATAAATTCTCTCTCTGATATCTTATCCCTAAATGCACTCTCATATCTTACCCTTAAATACAAATGTCTTCACTGCCCCGCGGCGTTCTGCGGGACCCACTGTCTGTACATGCCCGAGATTCAGTACCAACCCACTCAACACATATCATATACATAAAATATAACAGGAGGGTGTGAGACTCCATCAGACAAACAGCAGAAAGCTCCACGTACGAGACTTCACCTTTTCAACATGAAATACTTTTTGCTTATCGCCGGGATCGTCCTTGTCCCACAAGGTAAGAAACGGTACTTTTTATGTGTGTTATGAGTTACGAGGGTCTGAGATGTCACTGTTTCGCCTAGAATGTTCCACAGTATGGCATTAAACGTGTCTATTTCCAAAGTGGCAAGGAGACAGCATCATAGGGCAAAGTTACGGGTCAGATTTATGGAGAGGTGAGCCCACTCAGAGTAAGAATGCGTGTATTCCAAGGAATTTTTGAGCTGTAATTGAATAATGCACAATCCACCAGAAAAGTGAAGAATAGTGAAAGTTTCATTATAAATGAACACTGTTGGGCAAGTGACTTTAACACTGTAATGTGTTATTTATGACTTGTTACTGTCATTTTAAAGTAATCCATTACATTACAATATTACTGTATTTAAAATGTAAGGCATTACATTACTATTGCATTACTTTTAAGTTACTCTCACCAAAATAACTGCGAAGATGCTGAACTTTTGTGCCGTATATGGACTGAACCAGGACTGAACCAGGTCTAAACCAGAGCTGAACCAGGTCTAAACCAGAGCTGAACCAGGACTAAACCAGGTCTAAACCAGGACTAAACCAGGTCTAAACCAGGACTAATCTTGGACTAGAACTTGGAATGAGAGAGAACCTGAGCCCGTGGAACAGGGTGTCTGTAAAGCGCGATCGCGTGAGCTGCGTGGAGTTCTGCGTCGGTTCTTTCGCCCGTGGTCACCTGACGGTCTATGCGGGCACGTCTCTGGCGTTTCACCGCTGCTGATATCGCAGCGAAATTTGTACGAAGAAAAAAAACAAAAAACAAAAAAAACACTTCAATCCAGGTAAAAAATTCATTGTAACGCGGGTCACTGACATTTGTACAGAGTAAAATATTACAATTTTTTCCCCCTGTGATGCCACATTACTGAGTTACAGCAAAAAGCAACACATTACAGTAATTCATTATTTTTATAACGTGTTACTTCCAACACAACATTTTGGCTTATATAACATCCTAAATGTTAGAAAAGACTCATTTAAATGTTTCAGACTTTTGTGCCCATCTCTTGTATATTGAATAAATTCATATGTGCTCATCCAAAAAATGTTTTGTCAGCTGGAGTAACGCCTTGGATAATCCCTCATAAATCTGCAGTGGTTCAGTTTATAGTCACAAACATAAAAAAATAAATAAAATACTAGTACTTCTGCAATATGGCAGCATTTTGTCTTCAGGCCACATTTGTTTATGTTTTACAGAAGCTAAACTTAAAACCACATGACTCATTTGCATAAACTATAAGTGCTGAAAAAAACAGCTCGCTCCTTGTGCGCTGATGTGGTTCAGCTTCTGTCGGACTAAAGGACATGACTCAGTGGAATATGAGTGTTCTTTCTGTGACAGAGAGGTGTTCTGCTGATGGTGAGTCTGTTCTGTGTGTGTATCATGTTGGAGATGATTCATGTGAAACTTTTCAGAGATTATAAATCTGCAGGTCGTACACACAGACCGTTCAGCTTTGTAGCTTACCAAAGTTGTACTAAAACATTTTGGTAACACAGTAATACTGTATACCCCGAGAAGAATCCTGAGAAGATTTAATGGTATCAAAGTCTGGATACTGCCCAACCCTAGACTCAACGCTATAAGAAGGACAACATCCTAAAATGTTAGGAAATCTCAACTGGGTAACACTTCCCATAGAGTCTATTATAAAACCCACATTACACAGTTGACACTGATGAGATTTAAGCACAACTGATGGGAGAACCAGAGTGTCCAGAGGAAATGCTGAGAGAAACAGGAAAAACATGCACAATCCACCCAGGAATCGAATCCGAAACCTTTTTGCTGTGAAGCGTGAGTGCTGGACACTGTGCCGTGACAATAAGTGTGTTCATATTGTGGGACTGACCTGGGACTATTGGACTGAAAGTTAAAGAAGCCAAAATGAAAATCCACGATTGTTTCTTGTCTTTTTGAACTAATCAGATCTGTGATTTTCAGCCTGGTGTCTCAAGTGTAAAGTGTGTGAAACTCAAGGTTCCGAGTGTGTGGGAGAAGAGACCTGCTCTGCAAACTTCACTCGCTGTGGAATTGCTCGGATAGTATCATACGTGGGTTAGTGAAGAACCTGCACAAAACTACTGCAAAACTACAGATTTCAACTATATTTACTTTAAATGTTTAAATGATTGCTTTGAGTTACATGTTCATTTGTTTGTTTTTCTATTTTGCTCCATGTTATGTTATTTTAATTTATTATTACACAATAAACATCTAAACTATTTAAAAAATCCCTTTCTTTTGCAGAAGGTACTGTAGACAGAGAAGAAATAAAGGTGTCCTGTTTCCCGGAGCATGTGTGCAGAGCCGGCTCGGTCAACCTGGGACCGTACAGTGTTTATTACACAACAAAATGCTGCGACACAGACAACTGTAACACAGAGAAGCCCCCGGACGGTAAGACACACAACAGCAGCTGCTTTAAATAATAACACTTTAAGAGACTGAGATGAAGACATTCTTAAACAAACACACCAGGTCATGAGGAACATGCCCACACATGTTCATGAAAGTGCAGAAGTGTCAGAGATTACAACCGTAACACACACAAGCACAACAGGTCTTCTTCAAAAGCTCAAGTCAATTTTGCAAAATGCTTCTTATATTTGTAAATATTTCCAGGTCATATTAAGTTGTATATTAAATTAGATGACTTTAAATTAGATGCATTATTATACCTGTACTCAGTATCAATTCCTTGATTGTGTGTTTTAGTGTTTATCAAGTCCCGCCCCAACGGCGTAAAGTGTGATCTCTGTACGAGGGGCGGATCATGCAACGGGACAGTGGACTGTGTGGATGACCAGACTTACTGCACCACCATCAACCCAAGTACACACACACACGTACACAACACACAAACACATACACACGTACACAACACAAACACACGTACACAACACACACATACACACGTACACAACACACACATACACACGTACACAACACACACACAACACACGTACACAAACACATGTACACAAACACACGTACACAACACACACATACACACATACACAACACATGTACACACACACATGTACACAAACACACGTACACAACACACACATACACACGTACACAACACACGTACACAATACACACGTACACAAACACACGTACACAACACACACATACACAAACACAAACACACGTACACAAACACACGTACACAACACACACATACACACATACACAACACACGTACACAAACACATGTACACAAACACACGTACACAACACACACGTACACAAACACATGTACACAAACACACGTACACAACACACACAAACACACGTACACAACACACGTACACAACACATGTACACAACACATGTACACAAACACACGTACATGTACACAACACACGTACACAACACATGTACACAACACATGTACACAACACACGTACACAAACACACGTACACAAACACACGTACACACACGTACACAAACACACACATGTACAACACACGTACACAAACACACACGTACACAACACACGTACACACACACACGTACACAACACATGTACACAAACACATGTACACAAACACACGTACACAACACACACAAACACACGTACACAACACACGTACACAAACACACGTACACAACACATGTAACACACGTACACAACACACGTACACAACACACACACACACACGTACACAAACACACGTACACAAACACACGTACACAACACATGTACACAAACACATACACAACACGTACACAACACATACACACGTACACACGTACACACGTACACACAAACACACGTACACAACACACGTACACACACACAACACATGTACACAACACACACACACACGTACACACAACACACGTACACACGTACACAACACACGTACACACAACACACGTACACAACACATGTACACAAACACACATACACAACACACGTACACAAACACACGTACACAAACACGTACAACACGTACACACGTACACAACACACGTACACAAACACACGTACACACGTACACACACAACACATGTACACACAACACACGTACACACACACACACACGTACACACACACGTACACACACACGTACACACACGTACACACACAAACAACGTACACAAACACACGTACACAAACACACGTACACAAACACACGTACACAACACACGTACACACACAACACACACACATGTACACACAACACACACACGTACACACACGTACACACACGTACACACACACGTACACAAACACACGTACACACAACACACGTACACAACACACGTAACACACGTACACAACACGTACACAACACACGTACACACAACACACGTACACAACACATGTACACAAACACACGTACACAACACACACATACACACGTACACAACACACGTACACAACACATGTACACACGTACACAACACACGTACACAACACACGTACACAAACACACGTACACAACACACATGTACACAAACACACGTACACAACACACAACACACGTACACAACACACGTACACAACACACGTACACAACACACGTACACAAACACACACACGTACACACGTACACAAACACACGTACACAACACACGTACACAAACACACGTACACAACACACGTACACACACACACACGTACACAACACACGTACACAAACACACGTACACAACACACGTACACACGTACACACACAAACACACGTACACACACAACACACGTACACAACACACGTACACAAACACACGTACACACACACAAACACACGTACACAAACACACACGTACACAACACACGTACACAAACACACGTACACACGTACACAACACATGTACACAAACACACGTACACAACACACACACGTACAACACACGTACACAACACACGTACACAACACACGTACACAACACATGTACACAAACACACGTACACACACACACACACGTACACAAACACACGTAACACACACGTACACACAAACGTACACAAACACACGTAACACACGTACACAAACACACGTACACAAACACGTACACACAACACACATGTACACAAAACACACGTACACAACACACATGTACACAACACAACACACATACACGTACACACACACACATACACAAACACACATACACAACACGTACACAAACACACGTACACACGTACACAACACATGTACACAAACACACGTACACAAACACACGTACACAACACACGTACACAAACACACGTACACACGTACACACGTACACAAACACACGTACACACACACACACACACACACGTACACAACACACGTACACAACACACGTACACAACACATGTACACAAACACACGTACACAAACACACGTACACAACACACGTACACACACACACAACACACGTACACAACACACGTACACAACACAAGTACACAACACACGTACACACGTACACAACACATGTACACAACACACGTACACACAACACATGTACACAAACACATCTACACAAACACAAAAACACACGTACACAAACACAGACACACACACACACGTACACAAACACAGACACACGTACACAAACACATACGACACACGTACACAAACACACGTACACAAACACACAGACACACAGTACACAAACACACGTACACACGTACACAAACACACGTACACAGACACACGTACACAGACAACACACGACAACACATACACATACACACAAACACATACATACACGTGTACACAAACACATACACGCGTACACAAACACACATACACAACACAAAAACAAATAAATCCCATAGTCATACATTTGTTTGTTTGTTTGTTTGTTTGTTTCAGAGATAAAGGGGTGTGCGACTCGGAGCTTCTGTGTGGATCGTCCCTTTTTCCTGGACAACCTGGAGGAGATGACGTGCCGCGGCGGCAGCAGCCCCAGAGCTGGTCTGAACCCACTGTCCACCCTGCTCCTCCCGCTCATCTCTCTCATTTTCTACAAATAAAAACGACTTCAAGTTTCTATGACAGACGGGGCTTAGTTTTCACCAGATTTGGCCATGTTTTTTAGGCTTAAAGTTGTACTTTCTATTTGGAAATCATGACATTCCACAAGGGAATTCCACAGCTGTGTAACCTGTGTCTGTAACTGTTGTACACTGGGCCAAAACCCTCTAATGTACACAACAAACATTATGATTTGATAAATAAAAACATTACAAAATACCTTTATTTTGTTTAAATTATGTTTTAAGTACCAGAATGATGTGCATACGTGTGCCAATGTCATCAAATGTTTGGAACTCTCTACTACTAGTACTAGTAGTAGTAGTAGCGGCAGCAGTAGTAGTAGTAGTGGTAGTAGTAGTAGTAGTAGTAGTAGTAGTAGTAGTAGTAGTAGTAGTAGTAGTAGTAGTAGTAGTAGTAGTAGTAGTAGTAGTAGTGGTAGTAGTAGTAGTAGTAGTAGTAGTAGTAGTAGTAGTAGTAGTAGTAGTAGTAGTAGTAGTAGTAGTAGTAGTAGTAGTAGTAGTAGTAGTAGTAGTAGTAGTAGTAGTAGTAGTAGTAGTAGTAGTAGTAGTAGTAGTAGTAGTAGTAGTAGTGTAGTAGTAGTAGTAGTACTAGTAGTAGTAGTAGTAGTAGTAGTAGTAGTAGTAGTAGTTAGTAGTAGTAGTAGTAGTAGTAGTAATTGTAGTAGTAGTATAGTAGTAGTAGTATAGTAGTAGTAGTAATGCTAGTAGCAGTAGTAGTAGTAGTAGTAGTAGTAGTTAGTAGTAGTAGTTGTAGTAGTAGTAGTAGTAGTAGTAGTAGTAGCAGTAGTAGTAGTGTAGTTAGTAGTAGTAGTCAGTAGTAGTATAGTAGTAGTAGTAGCAGTAGTAGTTAGTAGTAGTAGTAGTAGTCTAGTAGTAGTAGTAGTAGTAGTAGTAGTAGTAGTAGTAGTAGTCAGTAGTAGTAGTAGTAGCGTAGTAGTAGCTAGTAGTAGTAGTAGTAGTAGTAGTAGTAGTAGTAGTAGTAGTAGTGTAGTAGTAGTAGTAGTAGTAGTAGTAGTAGTAGTAGTAGTAGTAGTAGTAGTAGTAGTAGTAGTAGTAGTAGTAGTAGTAGTAGTAGTAGTAGTAGTAGTAGTAGTAGTAGTAGTAGTAGTAGTAGTAGTAGTAGTAGTAGTAGTAGTAGTAGTAGTAGTAGTAGTAGTAGTAGTAGTAGTAGTAGTAGTAGTAGTTAGTAGTAGTAGTAGCAGTAGTAGTAGTAGTAGTAGTAGTAGTAGTAGTAGTAGTAGTAGTAGTAGTAGTAGTAGTAGTAGTAGTAGTAGTAGTAGTAGTAGTAGTAGTAGTAGTAGTTGTAGTACTAGTTGTAGTAGTTGTAGTGCTAGTTGTAGTAGTAGTAGTAGTAGTAGTCATAGTAGTAGTAGTAGTTGTAGTTGTTGTAGTGCTAGTCATAGTAGTAGTAGTAGTAGTAGTAGTAATAGTAAAAAGTACAGTATCTAGTATGAAAATAGCTGCACCAGAATCTTGTATCCTTAGAAATATCCAAACAGTTTTTCATTACACATTGTCCAACTAAATAAATCGCTTTTATAACTTTATTTACGACGAACATCGGGCTGTTTTTGGGCAAATCTGGTGAATAAAATCGTGCGCAGGTCGGACAGTCGCAGCTCCGACGACAGAACCGTAAACAATGAACGGAAACCTGAGGAGTTGTCCCGATGTTTACACTGTTAACAGGCGCTTTGGAGAGGAAATATTTGCGCAGCATCTGTCAAATTCAACACAAAATGCGCTAAATTCTCACTGTTTACGAGTGACACGCGCTTCAGACTACGAAAACGTCCACTTTACAACTTTTACTTCGCGGATGATTTGCAGATTAATTCACATTTCGCCGAAGGAGAAGCAGAAACGCGTGCACTCACCACAGATCTCATGCGTAAAAGTTGTGGAAGTTGGGATTCCAGTTGCGCATTTTTCACGAACTCCAAACTGCGCAGTCCACGTCTTCTTCTGCCGCGCTGTGCCAGAGAAAGTGGTTTGTTTTGGTGTTTGGTGGCGCGTTGTGGCCACGTCTGCCCCGTCTGTCCCGGAGTGCGCCTCCCCGGGACGGTCACGTGACACGAGCGTGTGACAGGGGCGTGCCAACCAACACGCGCCAGGGACTCGGGTTTAAAGGGGCCCGGACACTGAAAATAGAAGTTTAGTTGTTTTTTTTTTTTCATTTGACATTTCAAATAATAATGATATAATTGTTAAAATGATGTACAGGAAGTTTTACTTTATTTTATTATTTTTTTTTAAACTTTATTTATTTATGTATTGATTTAATTTAATTTCAATTCATTTATTTATTTCATAGTTTTTTTTTTTGTTTTTTTTTCACAAACTTTATTGATCCACAACTGAAATTATTTGGACACAGGAGCTCACACTTCACAATATAATAATAATAATAATAATAATAATAATAATAATAATAATAATAATAATAATTAGAGCCCGACCGATATGGATTTTGTTGTGGCCGATATGAAACTGATATAATGGGAGTTGGAGCTGCCGATAGCCGATATAATCACCGATATATTTAGTGATGTAAAAATTCACTGTAAATCTTGAATTGTTTAAAAAACTTAGGTTTGGCTCTAGTGGATTTTAAATTGGGTTTATTTAGGCAACATTTATTGTTATTTTGACTCTTTACGTCATATTTACAGACAGTAGATTGGCCTAATGGCATTTTTGCATCACATTCTAGCTACTGTTACTGTCACTGCTAGTGATGGGTATTCCATTTTTTTTTTTTTTGGAGAACCGGCTCTTTTGGCTCGGCTCACTAAAGCAGCTGGCTCTTTCGGCTCCCAAGCGACTCTTGAGATTGTTTTGTTGCAAGCAGGACTAAACCAAAACTGAACCAGGACTGAAAAAGGACTAAACCAGGACTAAAACAGATTTAAACCAAGTGTAAAACAGGACTAAACCAGAACTGAACCAGGACTGAGTGTCGGGACTCGATCTCTCCCTCACTCGAGCCCAAGATTAGTCCTGGTTTATTAATTTTATGCTGAACTGCAGCTAAATATGCACTTTTTTTTTTATCCTATGCACACGCAGATTTCTGAAAGTTTTGTTTTCAGCCGCTGCTGCTGTCAAACTACGGCTCCACAAGCGGCTTGAAGAGAAAAAGTGAGAAAAAGAGAAAACACGGCTCCCAATAAGAAACATGCTCCCGTTGTTCGCTTCAAAGAGCCGGATCTAAGAGCCGCTTCGATCGCGACCGACCCATCACTACTAGCTAGTAAATAAACAATCGCTATTAACCTTTAGCCGTAAAAACGTGCGCACCGCGGTAATTAATTATATGCATAAATGTGGATCATTCACACGTCTATTCACAGCTCATTTACAGATCAATGCTGGTCCAGTAACAAATATACGAACAATACAGTCACTTTAAAATAGACCAATAGAAAACAGTCTGTTTATGTGCGGGAGCTACAGCAGCTAATCGCTAACAAATAAACAAAACTAGCTTCAAAGTCGACATATTTCCAACACTCAGCCTCACACAGGCTCCTCCCACATCACAGTCTGAACTAATAAATGTCCTTTTAATCCAGACTCAAACCGATTGTCCGTAAAAAGAAAATAATCTCAGTGTTGCTCACGGCTGCGGGAGTAAACAATAACACGCGAGTGAAGTGACGTGACTCTGTGGTGTGTTCAGGGACAGTACGGACACAGACACAGACAAATTACACCGCAGATAAATACTGATGTGGAGCCACATATGAGGACATTTATCTGTCTGTAAATTGGATTAAATTAACAGAATGTAGAGAGTCTAAGCTTTATAACGACGTATCACATGCCCACGAGAAGGGAGTATTATCTGTTACATAAATGTTAGTTGATGTACATTTGTAGGGAGTATTATCTGTTACATAAATGTTAGTTGATGTACATTTGTAGGGAGTATTATCTGTTACATAAATGTTAGTTGATGTACATTTGTAGGGAGTATTATCTGTTACATAAATGTTAGTTGATGTACATTTGTAGGGAGTATTATCTGTTACATAAATGTTAGTTGATGTACATTTGTAGGGAGTATTATCTGTTACATAAATGTTAGTTGATGTACATTTGTAGGGAGTATTATCTGTTACATATAAATGTTAGTTGATGTACATTTGTAGGGAGTATTATCTGTTACATAAATGTTAGTTGATGTACATTTGTAGGGAGTATTATCTGTTACATAAATGTTAGTTGATGTACATTTTGTAGGGAGTATTATCTGTTACATAAATGTTAGTTGATGTACATTTGTAGGGAGTATTATCTGTTACATAAATGTTAGTTGATGTACATTTGTAGGGAGTATTATCTGTTACATAGATGTTAGTTGATGTACATTTGTAGGGAGTATTATCTGTTACATAAATGTTAGTTGATGTACATTTGTAGGGAGTATTATCTGTTACATAAATGTTAGTTGATGTACATTTGTAGGGAGTATTATCTGTTTACATAAATGTTAGTTGATGTACATTTGTAGGGAGTATTATCTGTTACATAAATGTTAGTTTGATGTACATTTGTAGGGAGTATTATCTGTTACATAAATGTTAGTTGATGTACATTTGTAGGGAGTATTATCTGTTACATAAATGTTAGTTGATGTACATTTGTAGGGAGTATTATCTGTTACATAGATGTTAGTTGATGTATATTTTGTAGGGAGTATTATCTGTTACATAAATGTTAGTTGATGTACATTTGTAGGGAGTATTATCTGTTACATAAATGTTAGTTGATGTACATTGTAGGGAGTATTATCTGTTACATAGATGTTAGTTGATGTACATTTGTAGGGAGTATTATCTGTTACATAAATGTTAGTTGATGTACATTTGTAGGGAGTATTATCTGTTACATAAATGTTAGTTGATGTACATTTGTAGGGAGTATTATCTGTTACATAGATGTTAGTTGATGTACATTTGTAGGGAGTATTATCTGTTACATAAATGTTAGTTGATGTACATTTGTAGGGAGTATTATCTGTTACATAAATGTTAGTTGATGTACATTTGTAGGGAGTATTATCTGTTACATAGATGTTAGTTGATGTACATTTGTAGGGAGTATTATCTGTTACATAAATGTTAGTTGATGTACATTTGTAGGGAGTATTATCTGTTACATAAATGTTAGTTGATGTACATTTGTAGGGAGTATTATCTGTTACATAAATGTTAGTGATGTACATATGTAGGGAGTATTACTGTACATAAATGTAGTTGATGATGACATTTGTAGGGAGTATTATACTGTTACATAAAATGTTAGTTGATGTACATTTGTAGGGAGTATTATCTGTTACATAAATGTTAGTTGATGTACATTTGTAGGGAGTATTATCTGTTACATAGATGTTAGTTGATGTACATTTGTAGGGAGTATTATCTGTTACATAAATGTTAGTTGATGTACATTTGTAGGGAGTATTATCTGTTACATAAATGTTAGTTGATGTACATTTGTAGGGAGTATTATCTGTTACATAAGATGTTAGTTGATGTACATTTGTAGGGAGTATTATCTGTTACATAAGATGTTAGTTGATGTAACATTGTAGGGAGTATTATCTGTTACATAAATGTTAGTTGATGTACATTTGTAGGGAGTATTATCTGTTACATAGATGTTAGTTGATGTACATTTGTAGGGAGTATTATCTGTTACATAATTGTTAGTTGATGTACATTTGTAGGGAGTATTATCTGTTACATAAATGTTAGTTGATGTACATTTGTAGGGAGTATTATCTGTTACATAAATGTTAGTTGATGTACATTTGTAGGGAGTATTATCTGTTACATAAATGTTAGTTGATGTACATTTGTAGGGAGTATTATCTGTTACATAAATGTTAGTTGATGTACATTTGTAGGGAGTATTATCTGTTACATAGATGTTAGTTGATGTACATTTGTAGGGAGTATTATCTGTTACATAGATGTTAGTTGATGTACAGTCGTAGGGAGTATTATCTGTTACATAAGGATGAGTTGTTGTACAGTCGTAGGGAGTATTATCTGTTACATAAGGATGAGTTGTTGTACAGTCGTAGGGAGTATTATCTGTTACATAAGGATGAGTTGTTGTACAGTCGTAGGGAGTATTATCTGTTACATAAGGATGAGTTGTTGTACAGTCGTAGGGAGTATTATCTGTTACATAAGGATGAGTTGTTGTACAGTTGTAGGGAGTATTATCTGTTACATAAATGTTAGTTGATGTACATTTGTAGGGAGTATTATCTGTTACATAAATGTTAGTTGATGTACATTTGTAGGGAGTATTATCTGTTACAAAAATGTTAGTTGATGTACAGTCGTAGGGAGTATTATCTGTTACATAACGATGAGTTGTTGTACAGTTGTAGGGAGTATTATCTGTTACATAAATGTTAGTTGATCTACATTTGTAGGGAGTATTATCTGTTACATAAATGTTAGTTGATTGTACATTTGTAGGGAGTATTATTGTTACATAAATGTTAGTTGATGTACATTGTGTAATCTGTTAATAAATGTTAGTTGATGTACATTTGTAGGGAGTATTATCTGTTACATAAATGTTAGTTGAATGTACATTTGTAGGGAGTATTATCTGTTACATAGATGTTAGTTGATGATTGTAGGGAGTATTATCTGTTACATAAATGTTAGTTGATCTACATTTGTAGGGAGTATTATCTGTTACAAAAATGTTAGTTGATGTACATTTGTAGGGAGTATTATCTGTTACATAGATGTTAGTTGATGTACATTTGTAGGGAGTATTATCTGTTACATAATGTTAGTTGATGTACATTTGTAGGGAGTATTATCTGTTACATAAATGTTAGTTGATGTACATTTGTAGGAGTATTATCTGTTACATAAATGTTAGTTGATGTACATTTGTAGGGAGTATTATCTGTTACATAAATGTTAGTTGATGTACATTTGTAGGGAGTATTATCTGTTAAAAATGTTAGTTGATGTACATTTGTAGGGAGTATTATCTGTCATAAATGTAGTTGATGTACATTGTAG